AAGCATATTAGAAACGACATTAGTACAGAAATGAATCTCACTGCTGAGGAATACAGTAGACTGTAAAGCGAGATTCCACGATGTAGACTGCCTTTCATTGGTTTGATTATGATCTGTAATCTTTAATAATAATCTGTGAACAGAAGGGACGACTCTGTGGGGCAAAGGGGCCACCTTGTGGTCATGAACTGTAATTAATCCCATTCTTACTATGTCGAGGGGCTCTGCCGGCGCTGTTGATCTTAAAGTAACTTAAACCGGTCACCACATTTTGCAAATGGCGAAATGCATACTGCACGTGAAACCCAAGGAATCCTTGAAGGAGTGTCATGCCGGCACTGCCCACGCAGGGGTATATCAAGGAATTCTGGGTCCCCTGAATGTCAGGCTCCACGTTTGTGGAGGTTAACGCTGTATTGTCATGCGGTTTCCTCCACACACACACACACACACACACACACACACACACACACACACACACACACACACACACAGAGAGAGAGAGAGAGAGAGAGAGAGAGAGCATGCTAAGGTGAATTACAGTTGCCAAATTGTATATCAGTACCATGCAATAGGTTGGCACCCCACCTGGGTAATTCACTGCCTAGGTAATTCCTTAGCTTTCAGAATAGGCTATGGACCCCCACAACCTTGCACAGGCCAATTGAGTATAAAATTTATGGATATTCTGGGTCTGCTTGCGTAATTTCATTCAAAAACAGGTACTGATGTCTGTAAATTGCCGATAGTGTGTGAGGCCTGTATAAAATCAAACCATCCATTTTCTAAAACTACCAAACACTTATCCAAATTATTTATTAAACTGCAGGATACCAGGTGGCACTGACCTTATCCCTCATAATAATTTCTCACTAAGAACATAAACCATTGCAAAACATTATTCCATTTTAGCTGGGTCTGCCTGAAGATGTTGGGAAGCAGTTTTTTTATTAAATAGAATTGGAATTGTTAATAATACTATTCCCTCGGAGGTGGCGTGAATTTGCCTAATATATTTTAAAAATCGTGGTTAAACCGTTATATTTCATCATTATCAGGTAGGCTGTTTTTATTATATTCATGGTCATGCCACCATATGTCGTCAGTACCAGAGAGGTTTTCTAATTTTATTTATAGGCTTACGAAAGTGAAGAAGTGTGAGAAAAACAGGTGCCGGTATTCATTTTGTTAGTCATTACGATATATTATGAGAGGTGCCAGTATGCAAGAAACATTCTTTTTACTCTGAAGAGAAAAACATTTAGGTACCGATTCCACGTACTGCTGACTACCAGCCCACTTTAAGCTCTGTTTTTGGTTATTGCAAATACATGAATTATTCCCATCCCAGCTGGCATTCGACCGACCTTAAACGTTTAAATGTGGTTGAAATAATGTCAGTTTATAAAAAAACATTCATTCAACGTCAAAACAACGTTGAATACCAAATGGTTGAAATGGTGTTGTTAACTAACTATGGATTCAACATAGAAATATAAATAAAATTTGAGTTGTACGTCAAATCAACATTATTTTTACAACCATTTGCAAAATCTAAACAAAATCCAACGGTTATCCAACACTGACACCTGATGTTGATTCAACGCTGACTCCACGTTAAAATGCCAGCTGGGATAGATCTAAAAAGTTTTTAAAGTTTTCTGCTCGACCCGCAATAGTTTGGTGTATTTTAGTGTGATGACATTTACTTCTGATGTTCTGGAGGAAAGTTTGAGGAGTGAAGCTGATCCTGGTCACGCGGTGTAATCCGTGCCGGGTTTGTGCTCCCCGCAGATAAGGCAACTCATTTAGGAAATAGGCGCCGATAAGCAGCTCTGCAATTAATCTCTTATCTCCTGAAGGACAGAAATGCGACCTTCACACACCGCTTTGCGAACGGACCCCGACTCATGCTAGCCATCAAGGCGCAAGTTTCCTGTTAATACCGTTACCGGTCTGCAGCAGATATGGAGACGTGGGGTTTAAATGTCTACCTGACTCCCCGAACGATTGTGAAACAGACAGATGCCACATCACCTGTGATGAGTGAAAAAACTTTGAACAACTGTTGTTTCACCCAGTTATCATTTGACTCCTCCTGGCTCATTTTTGTCTCATTTCTCATTTCGTTTTCATCAAAAGTAACTGCTACTCAGGGAGCAAAGTAGCCTATATAAAGCCATATTTTAATAGCTTAATACAATTTTATTATAGGCCCATGTAAATACAAATGTCCAATGGCAGTTCAGTGTCTGGATGTCTGACATGTCCCCATTTGGTCAGCAGGTGTTGCTGGCCATCCCACCCCGTATGTTCTTTGTGACTCCCAGCCCAAGCGTCTGGTTAATTGATCAATGACTCACAGCTCTCTCTTAACTAGTGTTCATTACCTGTGTATATATCTGCCTACCACATGTGCCCTGTTACTCTGTTGGTCATTTTGTATTTGTTCCTGCCTGAGGATTGTAGTTGTTACCTTTGTTATGGACCCCAGTTAGTGCTGTTTGTTACTGTTACCCTAGTGATTTTTTTTTTCAGTCTCAGTCCTAGCCCTCCTTTATTCTTAAAGCCGTACCTGACTCTGTTTTGACTCCGCCTGGTCCCTTTTCGTTTGTAATGTCGTTTAAGTTCAGTTTAAAATAAAGTTCCCTTGATGTCTGAAATCCGCTCCCTGGATCGTCTCTCCTTCACTGTGCTCCGTCGTGACATTTAGTAAAAAAAAAGCTACAATTTGAAGTACACTGGCTAGATGGGGTGGGTGTGAACAGGACGTGAAACATGATTTTATGGAAAGATTCATAAATGTTACAACACTGTGGGGGTTGGAGAACGATAACGGGAATATGAAAAGAGCCGGGAATTAACTTGGGAATGTCACCGAGTTAAAATGCATTACATGCAGCTAGATTGGACGTGCTAGCTGACTTTTGCATAATTTATTAGTTCCATTGTAAAAGTTACTGATGTTTGTCCAGAACTGCAGTGCTCATAAAGGGATTTAGACAGGTGCATTTGGAAGTGCATATTGAACATAGTTCTCCAAAGAGCGTTACTCATAATTACGGTCGCACCCTCAAACTGATCCAGCTCTCCGCTGAATACATCGTCACTGAGCTTGGGACTGGAGCCATTACTGAAGTCATGTGTGCATTCGACACGCCATAACAGAGCATTTATACATATGACACTGATTAAATTTACTACTATACTCCATGTGACACGTGCAGCTAGAGCCTAGACATAGGCTAAATGCTTTTGAAGAAACTGCTGAATTCATAAATGAGGCTGCAACAAATATGTGAACTAATAATTATTATTTTTATATAATTTTTTATATTGTTTCCTGATATACTGGAGCCATATAAGAAAAACAGGGTCATGGTTGGTTAGAACCAGGTGCTAAAGGTGCCATGATTGTGGGTTTGATCCCAGCAGTTGTATGTTGCTTTGGGTAAGAGGGTCTGAAAAATAAAATGTGAAGAGTCGATAGTTGGTATTGTTAGAGCTGTTTTTCAAAATGTGTTAATTGCTGCCATCTTTTGTCCATGGAGTGACATGGCAGGTCTGAGGTATGAAGGTTCGCTTGTGAGAGGATGGAAGAGGAGGGGGTGGGGGTGGTTAGTAGGTGAACAGGCAGAATGCCATGAAAAAAGCAGCGCAACTAACGTGTGACAACGCTTTCGGAAGCTTAATTGCTGCAATGTAAAATACCAGAACAGTCCCGTCTGCAGGCTATTCAGTACCAGTACAAGTTTGTAGACACCTACCCACAAAAAGGTTGATTTATACTATTCTCTACATTTTAGAATAATTACAAAGGTATCAAAATTATAAAATGCCATATATGGAATTATGCACTGACAAAAAAAGTATAAAAAAATAGATAATTTGCTGCGCGGGGGAGGGCAGCTGTGAGGGTCGGGACTCAGAAGGTTGCCGGTTCAAGACCCATTCTCAGCAGAGTGATCCCACCATTGGGCCCTTGAGCAAGGCCCTTAACCCCAGTTGTCAGTTCCATGAGGCGCCTCCTGGGATGCTTTTCCAGCTGTCCTGAAGGAGGTCCTACATATGCTGAACCCTCAATGGCTTCTTTTCCACTCTCTGGTCAAATTCCTCCAAAACCATTCTACTGTGTTTAGGTCAGGTGGCCAGGTAATGTGATGTGACACTATCGGGCTCCTTTGTAGGCAGCTTGGCGTTTCCAAACTTAAGACTGATTCTGCATATACAAGTCACTGTTTTGTATTTACTGTAGGGAAAAGCCAGGCTGGAGGATAAAATGTGGGAGATTCAATACCATACTGGACTCCAGTCTGCTTGTTTACAAATATTCTGATATACTGTGCGTCCTAAATGACGTGGCTTGTTGCTGAAGCTGGTAAGTTAGAGTCAGACTGAAATTAAAAATGAACCTTTGGGAAGTGCTTATAATATTTTATTAAAATGCTTCTTATGTTTATCACTCATAACCATTCTGATAGAAAATAAGTCGTGTGGTGTCCATCGGGCGTATGTATTGCATTGGAAGATTGACAATTAAATATAGCGTATATACAGTTGTTTCTCTTTAAAACTGGTCTGAAAACGTAAAAGTATTGAACCATAAAATTGCATCATAAACAGAGATTAGTATTTAGCTCGCAGATTATGGGGAATGACACAGAACTAAAGAAACAAATTAATGAGGAATGTGTATTGCCATGAGCCATCGGAATAATATTGCCTATAGATGAGTCTGCTGCAGCTGTACAGTTAGTATAGGGTTATGTTTATCAGCAGGTGGAAACACTAACGACAACCTTCACATTCCTGCAATGTCCAGTGATAGTTACCGCGGTCGCGGAACGCCCACCACTGGGACAATCTGTGTATATTTAAATCTTGTCATCCCAACGCAGATATACGAGTAATATAAATCTGCAGAGCGCTGCCGCAAAAGCACAGCAAAGCACGCCTACAGCGTCTGCCTGGCCGGCGTCAGGGCGACCTCTAGTGGCCACTTAGTTTTTGAACATGTCACAGAGCAACTTCTCCATGGGGGTGTTTCCGATGGTCCTATGGAAGAAGAGCAGCTCGATCCGCTCGGAGGTCACGAAACGCAGGGAGGGGAGTAGCAGGAGCAGCTTCCCAAACCTGAAGGGTGTTGCATTGATGAACAGGTAAGAATAACGGCAGTGCCACATCACAGTGCTGTAGATCAGGGTTTCTCAGCCCGATCCTCAGGGACCCCCAGACAGTCCACGTTTTTGCTCTCTCCCAGCTCCCTGAGCAAATACATGGACTGTCTGGGGGTCCCTGAGGATCGGGCTGGGAAACCCTGTTGTAAATAATGTAAAGCATAATAAATGGTGAATATTCTTAATGACAGCATTGCACTCTTACCTGGAAGGCTGGCCTGAGTAATGCGTCCGGCTGTGCTGGCCCAGCATCACCTGAGACTGGTCCTGCAGGTTCTCCACCTGCTCGGGGTCCTTCAAACCCCTGGTCTCTGCAAGCAGCCCAACGTATCAGAGAAAGAAAGTGGTTAACATCCCAGACAAAGATAGACAGCCTGCTTCAGGTCTCCGGTACAGTGACAGTAAAAGAATGAGCATCAATCATAGCTGACCGGGCTTGAAGAGGACGACGGCCTTGAGGCAGGCAAACTCAGTGGGGTCCACAGCAAGGGCCTTAAAGCGGCTGAACACCTCCTGCAGCACACGCAGGTCAGCTCCTGAGAGGCTGGCTTTGCTCTGCGGGGGTGGCGAGAGGTCCGGCAGCGAGAGCAGGGGACAGCTGTCCAGGGGCAGGGACCACTGGACGGCGCAGAGCAGGAAGAGCTCACTCCATGCCTCCTCCAGGAGGATCACCTGATGATACAAAGGGCGGGGTCAGTGACACAATGGGAGGAGTCAGTGACGGGGGCGGGGTCAGTGACACAAGGGGTGTGGTCAGTGACATAAAGGACAGGGTCAGTGACACAATGGGAGAGTCAGTGACGGGGGCGGGGTCAGTGACACAATGGGAGGAGTCAGTGACGGGGGCGGGGTCAGTGACAAAATGGGAGGAGCCAGTGGCAGG